CATAAGAAAGAGAAGAAGGTTTTTACTGGAAGAATCCAATGGAGATTGGATTCAATCTTCAGACAACACCTTTAAGCTGGCATCGGAACTAACCCAGATTCTGGGTTTGTCCAGCCCTAATCGGATTGAGTTTGCATGACAGACTAAGGCACGATTAGCAATAGCCTTGCCACGTTTGGGGTGAACACTGTAGGGGCACAAGGAACAGCTTTACCAATCTTCTTTGGCAGCAATGGATGGTATACTGCCATGGAACATGGAGGTTCGGTGAAACCCCGTGCTGCAAAATAATACAACCTTGGCGAGTGGGCTATCCACCTAGCACTGCCTTTGTATAAACCCACTGAGTCTTTTTACTTGTTTTCTATTTTCTTTGCTAAAGTGTTTTATTTAGGAACCGAGAAGGAACGTCCCCAACACTTGGGACAGACACGGATTTGTGGAGTCCTCAGCTTTTTCTCTCTTTTTAAGAAGAGTCTGGCCGCAAAGTGCCAATATTCCCCCTCAGCCAGACCTTCCAAAAAATTGACATTTTGGAAGATCGGGGAACTTGGTGGTTCGGTGGAGCGACGAAGCCCAAACTGCGGAAATCTCTTTTCAAAACAGTGGAAAAAAACGTGGAGCAAGTTCCATTCAACAGCTCCCTTTGCTGGGCTTGCAGCTGAGCAAGAAGAAAACTCAAAACTTTTTCAAAAAGAAAGCTAGAAGTGGGGGAAAAACAAAAAAATATCCAGGTCAGCTGAAATATACATGAAGGAGACCTACAAACGTGACTAGGAGACAAAGGTAATTGAAGCTCAGCTCTTGGCTCTTTCTTCTGGCTTGCTGAGACATCAGCTTGGGCTTCTAAGAGATGGACAATTGGCAATTAAAGCTGATTTTTCAGACAGGCATTTAGTTCTTTGCTGAAAGAATTCAGATGAGCTCTGCTTTCAGAAATACTTTGATCTTTGCAAAAGGCTTGGAAAGCGCAAAACGTCCTTGATTGCCAGCACCCTGGCTAGGTTTAATTATTTTTTTTTTAAAGCTAACCACAAACCACAATGAAAAAGGTTTGGGGGGCTACCCCAGCCTGCAGCGAGACAATCTTGACCGCAAGTTTATACAAAGGGAACTTTTTTGAGGCTTGCCCTATTTAATTATTATTTCTGGGGAGAGAAAATCCACCACCCTTCTCTCACGTCTGTAAACAAGTAAGTTTAGGAAAAGGAGTACTGCGACGTGCTGGATGGTGTTAGTTAAACCAGCATCTTCCTTTGACTAACATCCCAAGGTTGTTTAATCTTAATCATGGTTTGTTTGGGGGGCTACATCCTCTGTGAAGGTAGCCTGTTTGGTTAGCTGAGGGCCCAGCGCAGAGAACATGGGTGAATTTCATAACCAGGTTAGGTGAAATTGGGGAAATGGATGCATGGACAAAAAAATGCTGTAGAGAAGCTGGTTAGCTGATCACCTGATGAATCTTGGGAAAAATAAACCCTTGTTTCTGGAAAGGAAAGCGAGGAGGATCAGTCCAGATTGGTCGGGCATGCATTCATTCAGGCACCCCACTCCCATTTCTACACTTTTCTTTCAGCAAAGAAATCCTCTCCCTCATGCAAATTTAATTGCGTCCCTTTTTTAACCTCTATTTTTATTCTTACGTTGAAACGAGTGACCGAAAAGGGCTTGGATTCTCAGTTTAACAATCAGCTCGACTTCTTATTTTCTTACTCAAAATATAAAGAAGGGGTTGGAAAGAATTCTTGATGCCATGCTCAGCACATTTCCCCTACTTTTTCTTCCCCCAAAATGTTTCTACTCCTTTTGGCACAAAATCCTTTAGCTCAACATCCTTTCTTTCAGACGTGCAAGATTCGGTTAATGTAGCTTTACCATAAAATAGAATTAGCTCATCTGGTCGTGTTTCCTGTCTGGTCTACCTAGTAAGGCTGACATCAATCTTGCAAGTCTCAAAGTACGATTCTTCCCCTGTCTCCTTTACAGCCCGAAAGAGGGTCCCTTCTGAGTCTCTTTCTTCACCCATTATGCAGCTGAGGGCTAAGCCATCTCTTATCTGACTGTTCCCTTGGCAGCGTCTCTTCGCCTGTCTTCCAAGGTCTTTCCCACATGCCATGACACCATCTGAATTGATCTGGACCAAATTTCTAAATCAGACCTGATTTGGTGCAGACCATCCAAAGTGCCAGAACTGGTGTGAAGCCTCTTACAGCAGAGTCCAACCCCAAATAAAAATTCCCAATGAATCTTAACAGCTAAATTATTCTCAAAAATTCCAGGGTCTAGGCTAAGATACAGAACCTCAAAAATTGAAGAATTCCAATCTCTACCACTTGTTTATTAGTGAATTCATTAAGGTGAGGTCTCAGAGATCTGTTGGATCCTCTTTTTCCCAAAATGCTACACACATAGACAGAAGATAGATAGATAGATAGATAGATAGATAGATAGATAGATAGATAGAT